GGAACTTTCCATGAGACAGTAGGAGAGTATTGTTGCAGGCATGGGCCAGTTAGACCACTTTCTCGTGGAACTTGCTTGTACCTACAGAAAGTCCTAGAGCCCAAGGCTATAGGCACCATTTACATTTGATAACATTGAGTTGCAGTATAATGTGCACCAACTTTATGATCTAGTAAGCTAGATAATGCTTATTTATAATGGGAGTTCAAGTCACACTGGTAATTTGGTGGTTCATGGTTCACTGATTAGAAGACAGTATTGAAGCCAGGTGGTAGTGTATGCCTATAATCCCAGCACTTGGGAGGCAGGAGGATCACCATGAGTTTTAGGCCAGCCTGGGCTACATAGTGAGTTCCAAGGCCAGCCTGAACTACATAACAAGACCTTGCCTCAAAAAAAAAAAACAAAAAACATGATATTGTCAAGATGTCAGTACACCCTAGTATACACATCTCTACCATAATCCTAGCTGATATTTTTGCACAAATTAGCAAACTGATACTAAAATTCATGAGAAATTTCAAGAAATCCAGAACAGGCAAAGCAATCTTGAAAAAGAAGTACAAAGTTAGAGGACAAGAATTAATAAGTGTACAGTATGCCAAAGGAGGGTCACCAAGAGAAAAATATCTCCCGTGTTTTCACAGAATGCAACATGGTCAAGGAAGGCCACGGCCCATTCTGATGGCTGACACTGACAAGGAGCTGAAAGGCTCTATATATTGTTACAACATAATGCCTGAGGAGACTTAACTGACCTTGTCAGGCAGTAAGAGGTTAATTTTGATTAACACAGGTCTAACTTTAACTTGGTCTTAAACACTTAACAAAAAAGTATAACCAAAAGATGAATAAAAACAATACCATAGTAATAAGAGCTAGATACAAAAAGGGGGTCCAGGGCTGGGGATATAGCTCAGCAGTACAAGCGCCCACCTGGCAAGTGCAGGGGCCCGAGTTTGATTCCCAGTACCAAAAAAAATGGGGGGAGCTCCAATCACTGACCCCCCCCCTTTTGGCAGTTTCCAACTACACTGGTAGCTGGCCACTATGGCTCATTAAGACAAAAACCTACAGTGAATTCTACAAAAGCTCAACAAGAGTCTCTAAATTCCTTTTTTCCATTTTGTTACAACTAGAAAGACTTGTAATAAGTACTATCAGACTTATAGATGACCTCCATCAGTAGAGGGGTCTAAGAGCCAACTGGGTACAATCACTATTCCAGTCCATTAAGAGCTGTTTCTGGATGTGGCTCTTTCCCAAACTTGCCCTTCCATTTTAGTGGAAGTGGTTTGATTATACATGCTTTAATTTTTGGAAAATTTGTTTATTTTGCCTAGAGCCTACCAAACTCCAAGTGATCATGCAGATGAAACTGAGGACAAATGTGCAATACTCCTTTTCTGGGATCCACCAGATCAACCTTGTGAAGAGTTCATAACTGCTCAACTACGACATGACTTCTATCTGAGGCCCATTAGATTAGCTCTCTGCAGAAGGCTCCTGCCTGCAGTTTCCCCTACACTGACCCTTCTTAGCTCAAGACAGCTAAATGGAAACTACACCCCTTCTCCCCTAACTACAATTAGGGATATCTCTTCAGAGGGAGGAATATTATAGACAGACAGCTAAGTTAGGTAGAAATATAGTAGGCAGTCAGACAGGGATGGTCCTTTCTTGAGAGCTTGTTTGGAGGTTCTAGCAGGGGAGCGCAGCTACTCGTGTACGGTCCTCCTCTATCAAGGGCGGTCATCCTCTTCAACCGAGCGCGCAGCTTCGGGAGGGACGCATATGGAGCATTGAGGGAGCAAGGGGACATCCGTCTAGCCAGCCAGATCAGCTGAATCAACCCTGGGGTGACAGATGTTGCAGCCAGATCACCCTCGCATCCAGGGATGGGCCTTTCTAAAGAGTCACCGCAAAAGATGAGTTCCATCAGGACTGTGGCTGGAGGTGCTATCTGAAGATTAAAATCACGATGGCTGGTTTTTTACATATTTCCTTAAGGAATGAACCGAAGCTTGGGATTACTGGTATCACCCTTTTAGGATTTCCCATTATCTCACTAGGAGTGGGCCATCCTCTCCCACCTACTAAGACTGAGACTAAACCACTAAGACTAAAACTAAGACTAAAAGACAAGACTAAGACTACAGATTATCAACCAAGGTTCACGTTGTCACCTATGTAGCCTTGCTACCATTAGGTCAATATTACCTAAGCAAGTATACTTGCAGTCTTATTGGTTGATCATAATTTTGACCCACATTGTACCCACCTCATGGTTTTGCTCTATTAAACTTCCTTTGAGAGGTGGGCTCATTCACAACCCATTTGGGACCCCTCCTGTCTTTCAGGAGCTATTCCTATTCCCTGTTCCCCTATCCCTACTCCCTATTCTTTTTCTCTAATAAATTTTTCTGCTCTTAAAAAAAAAAAAAACAGATAATAACTGTTGTTGAGGATGAGAAATTGGAACTTTCATCCGTTGCTAGTGGAAATGTAAAATGATACAGCCAGTTTTAAAACTTGACTGGCTGTTCCTCAAAAGGTTAAGTGTAGAGTTTCATAGCCCAGCAATTCCACTCCTAAGTGTATACCTAAAAGAAATGAAAGCCTAAGTTTACCTAAAATCTTGTACAGAAATGTCTAGAGCAACACTGTTCATAATACCCCCCCCCAAAAAGGGTAAAAGACAAGTGGTCATCAACTACTTAATGAATAAACAACATATGGTACATCCATTAAAACTGAATATTATTTAGCCATAAAAAGGAATGGGCACTGATACATGTTGTCAGGATTTATATCTAGATGTCTCTCCAAAGCTTTATGTTATCATAGGTGAGGATTTTGGGAGGTGATTGGATCATGGATCATGGGGGTGTGATACTCATCAGTGGATTAGTTTAATAATGAGTTTATAGAAAATGGTCTCTCTCTCTCTCCCTCCTCCTTTGATTGTTATCTGCTTCTCACCCCATAGCATAAGCTCTTTCTCCTCTGCCATGCCCCTCTGCCATGCTGCCCTGCCTTGAAGCCACCCAACTATGGACTGAAACCTCTACAAACTGTGAGCCAAAATAAACCTTTCCTCCATAACTTGTGGGGGTCAGATATTGTGTCTCAACAATGAAGAAATAAGATACGTGCTATGACATGGATGACCCTTAGGACATTATGCTAAGTGAAAGAAGCCAGTCACAAAAGACTACATATTTTATTTTATTTTATTTTATTTTATTTTTATTTTTTTTATTTTATATTTATACAAAATGTCCAGAATAGACAGACCCATAGAGACAGAAAGTAGATTAGTCATGGCCTGGAGCTAAGTGGATGGAAGGAGGGACAATGGCTAAAAGGTACCATATTTCTTTTGGGAGTGGTGAAAATATTCTAAAGTTGATTGTCGTGATGATTTCACAACTCTGAACACACTAAAAACCAGAGTTTTTTACTTTAAATGGCTGAATTGTGTGGTGTGTGCACTGTATCTCAGTACAGATATTTCAAACAGTAAAAGGAAGCAGGAAAAAAGAAATTTATGCCTAAAGCCCGGAAGATCAAACATATTCATATATGTTATTTATTTGGCCTTTTCCAGAAGCACTGTGGTGAAGGAATCCCCTTCATTTCAAAGATACTAATTTTATGCAGCCGGGTCTCAGCTCAAACCCTAGCTCCAGTGGGGAAGATTGAAACTGACCTAGGGACCTGCCAAGTATGAGGTGCTGTTCCAGGCTCTTCACACACAGCATCTCAGTTCATCCTTAAAACATCCTCAGCGGAAGGCATTATCAGTTCCATATTTCAGATAAAGAAACCCAGGCACATGCTGGGCACATGCTCTGTGCCCTCAGACACAGCTACTATAAGACAAAGCAGGATTCAAACTCAGTTCTGTCGGGTTCCATTGTTAATACCCTTTCTCCTGTGAAGCTCCTGGTGCCAGAATCCAAGTCCTGAGCGCTAGCTGCTAAAACCACCTGTCCCCTCCCTAGCCCTACACTGAGGCTCGACCCATGTTTTCTGTACACTTCTCCTGCTATTCAGCCTGTCTCCACCCCTCACTGCACAGAAAACAAAAGCTGTTCTTGGCACCACAGCCGGTTGGCCCGGCTCCTCAGGGGAAGGTGTCCCAGTACTAAAACAGCTCACCTATGCTGAAGAAAGGCGCTGGAAGCCCCAAAGAAAGGGGCAGAAAGCCCTTTCCTCTGCAAATGGGCCAGACCACAGACCTCTTCCCTGCCTGCCAGGGACTGCTTGAAAGGAACAAGGAAGACGTAGTCCTTTCACAGCAGACCCAGTCCGGACTCGGGATTCTGGACAGACTCACAGGAAAGCAGAAGGGACTACAGTAGAACAGCAGTGGGGCCAGGTGTGGTGGTGCATGCCTGTAATCCCAGCACTTGGGAGGCTGAGGCAGAAGGATCGTTGTGAGTTCAAGGCCATCCTGGGCTACAAAGTGAGCTCAAGGCCAGCCTGAACTGCATAGCGAGACCCTGGCTCAAAAAGACAAAAAAAAAAAAAAAAAAAAAAAAAAAAAAAAAAAGAACAGCAGTGGTACAGGACATTCTCTGTTGAGAGCAGGCAGAAAGTTTGTCCTGTGCTGGGAGGCCAGACGCTGAACACGTAACCCAGCCTCATCGCTTCCTAGCAGGTAATCACAGCACATTTGGGATGGTCCATCCGTTCCCACACCTCCTTCCTGTTGGCACCAGGAGCTAGGTCTGAGCCAGGAGAAGGGGCTTTCACTAGGGAGGAGGACAGTGTGAAGGAAAGTGAGATGCAGAAGATGGGGCTGAGGGTGAGGTCGGTCATTCTCTGTCCCTTTCACATGACAGGTCAGGCCTTTAGGGCAAGGCTGCCCTGCCTGGCCCAGCCAATAGAGTTAGACCAGGCTGGTGGATTAAGATTCAGTTACTGCCAGAGTAGAACTGGCTCCTCGTAAAGAGAAGGAGAGTTGCTCAGGATTCCGTGTGAACAGCAGGGTCATGGTCAAGATAAACGGTAAGTAGGATGCCTCCTCCGGGTCTGAGAGAGCAAAACCTGAGGAAGGTTTTCCACTGAACACTGGAATAGGGAGAGGAGCTGGATGGTGGGGAGTGGGTTAAAGTGTTTGACTTGTCCAAGGACAAGTCTGGATACAAATAAAAGAAGGATAAGAATAATATAGGGAATGGGAACGTGTCAAGAGGCGAGGAATGGGTTGAGTTGTTAAAGGGAGTCAACAGGGTGCAGCTGGGTCTGGAGAATGAGTCTGTGGGCTGGGTGCACAGAGTAGGAACACAGAGATAGAGACAGAAATGGCAAGAGCTGAAGGAGACAGGAACATTTGTGAGAAGTGGAGAATTGATTAGGAAGCTTGATATAGGCCTGGGGTTGGGCAGAAGGGATAGGACCTGAGGACTTTCTCCCCTGGGCTTGGGGCCCCCTCTCCTGTGACCTAGGAGTTGCTCCAGTGGAAGGCTCTCTTGGCACTGGGAAGGGTCTGCACTGCTAGCCAGTGAGGTCACCCAGCCCTCCTCAGCAGGTGGGCCCTGGGACCCCCTTCCTTCTAGCAGCTGTCCAATCACTACAAAGACTGGCAGGGGTTCTCACCTCCCAAGAAAACGCAGAGCTAGTGGAAGGGGCACACTGTGTCCAGTCCCTGGCCATTCCTGTTGAGAGTAGGTGACACTGGGGAAACCGCACAGCCCTTCATTTCAAATTCCCAGGTGAATTTCCCTGCACATCGGACCACTTGATTGTACAGAAGCAAATGAAGTCACTTGGGATTTGTGGTATGGTATTTATTTTTTTAGTTTCTTAGTACATGTTTGTAGTACATAATGTTTACATCTTCGTGTGGAGTTGGGACATATACATAATACACCTTTCTCCTTTTCCACCCTCTTTCCTTTCCCTCCCTTCCCCTCCACCCGCCTCTTGGTCACTTTCCTTTTTTGTACCTGTTTGCAGTATGTAATGTTGTACATTCCCTGTGTGGAGTTGGTACGTGTACATAACTAATCTTAATTCCTTTTTTCATCCCCTTTCCCTCTCCTCCTCCCCCTTCCTTCCATCTCTTGGTCCTCTTCACATTTGAGAAAGATCTATCTCCCTGCTTCCTATTCCTGTATTTATCTTTTATTTTGCTCTTTGTTTATACTTTGGGTTTCTTATATGAGAAACCATGTGATATTTAAGCTTGTGTGTCTGGTTTATTTCACTTAATATTATGATCTCAAGGTGCATCCATTTTCCTACAAATAAATCAAGTTTAGCTTTCTTTATGGCAGAGTAGCAGTCCATTGTGTGTAAGCACCACATTTTCTTTATCTGTTTATCTGTTGATAGACATATAGGTCACTTTCAAGATGTAGTCATTATAAATCGTGCTGCTATAAACATGGGTACACATGCATCACTGTGACATGATGACTTTAACTCCTTGGGGAAAATACCTAGAGGGGGAAGAGCCAGGTCAAATTGAATTTCTATTTTTCATTTTTTGAGGAACTTCCATGTTGATTTCCACAGTGATTGTAATAGTTTACACTCCCACCAACAAAGTAGAAGGCTTCCTTCTTCCCCTAAAGCCTTGTCCACGTTTGCTATTTCATTTCTTGATGGTAGCCATTCTTTCTGGAGTAAGATAGAATCTCGGTGTTGTTTTAATTTGCATTTCTCTAATGGTCAACGATGTTGAGCATTTCTTCACATATTTGTTGTCCATTTGTACTTCTTCATTGCACTTGCCCATTTTTTGACCGGATCTTTTATTTTGGGGTCTAATTATTTTAGTTCTTTATATATTCTAGATATGAGTCCTCTGTCTGAGAAATAGCTGGCAAAAAAAAATTCCTATTCTATAGGCTGTCTCTTCAACTCTGTTGGTTGTTTCCTTTGCCACGCAAAAGTTTTTTGATCTGATATGGTCACATTTGCTGATTCCGGGAACTATATCCTGTGCAACTGGGGTTCTGTTCAGAAAATCCTTGCCTACGCCTATGACGTCATTGCATGTGGCTATTAACTATCTGAACAATAGTTTCGTTCTTTCTTTCTTTCTTTCTTTCTTTCTTTTTTTTTGTACCAGGAACTGAACCCAGGGCCTTGTGCCTGCCAGGCAGCCACTGTGCCACTGAGCTACATCCCTGGCCCTGAGCAATAGTTTCTGATCTTACTTGCACATTAAATACCTGGTATGTGCGCTGCTGAAGTCAGCACTACATTAAATACCTGGAAAGTTTTTTCAAAAAAAGTACAGTGCGGCTGAAGAATCATAGATGGCCAGTTTACCATAGGGCTCTCCCCACTCCCTATCCCTTAAAAGAACTGTGCCTTCCTTCTTCACACACCCTCATTTTTGCACATGTGCACACAAACACACACCCTCTCACAGATGCACTCATCTCTTCATTCTCACTGCTTCAAGGTGAGGTCAGCTGCATTCCAGTTCTCAGCTCATTTCAGCTTCCCATGTATAAACTCACATCCACTCAGGCACCTACAGCATCCCACAAACCCATCTTTCACAAACAGTGCGGTCCTGTGGAGCAGCAATCACAGCTCATAACTACAGCCTCACCCGTAAGCTGACACACACACAGAACCACACTTCCACACTCACACACACGCTCACGTGCACACTCACCTTCCAGAGTATGCACATTTATAGTCAAATATGAACCTGCACATCTATGAGTTTCCAATCACATGAACTTCACAATCACCATTAGTTACACAGCTGATACCACTGCAGTCCACACATACATCTGTCCCCACACAACACAATCACCCCCACATAGACACTGTCACAAATGCACAAATCTACAACCGCAAAGTGACCAGACACAGCCCCGACCTGATCGTCCTGCCTTTGTTCACACAGTCAAGCTCATCCTGGGCAGGGCAGCCAGGATTCACAAAGACTGGACCCCCATTGCTTTCTCTTCCTCCCAGGAACCTTGATTTGGGGGCTCCTGCTGACCTCCCCCAGCTGCTTTGCCTATGATGAGGACCTGGCCAAGTGCTTCCAGGACCCAGAATATGAGTCCTTCCTCGCCATGGCCCGGGACGAGCTCCCTCCCTCCCCACTGCCCAAGCGCATAGTGGTAGTGGGAGCTGGTGTGTCAGGCCTGACAGCCGCCAAGACCCTGCAGGACCTTGGTCACCAGGTGAGGAGGCCTTGGGAGGGTCTCGATCATTTGTTTCTAGTTTACCTCCTTGGGCGGGAAAAGCAAGGTTGGAGTTGAACGACTGTACATTTCTCCCTCGGGTCTGAAATCCTTAACCCTTAATCATCGTTAACTGCCACTGAACTGCAGGTAACCGTCTTGGAGGCCAGTGACCACATAGGGGGTCGCGTAGTCACATTCAGGAATAAGGAAGAGGACTGGTACTATGAGCTGGGGGCTATGCGAATTCCCAAATCCCACAGGTAAGTCCCAGGACAGAAATGGAGCAAAGGCCAAGTGGGAGGATGGGGAAGGGGCAGGAGGGGCTTGTTGCATCATGTCAGAGCCCTTCAGGATTCACTCTGTCATGTAATTCAACTCTGTAAGTCAGGACTAATAGCGCTCTCCCACTTAACAGAGAAGACCAAAGCTAAGAGCCCAGTCACACAGAAAGTGGCAGATCTTGAACTAATAGTTATAATAGTTACCATTCATTCATCAAATTGTATACTCCAAATACAGGCAGATTTTATATGTCAATTGTCACAATGAGCTGTGAAACTATCATCATTGTTATTAACAATAACTGTGCTGAGTATTATATATACATTATTTGATCAATCCTCACAACCCTATAATTTGCTACTCTTATTATTCCTATTTACAAATTCAGAATGGGCTCAGATACAATAAACACTCAGCCAAATTTCTCCTAGGAGAAAGCCACAAAGCTCCTCCTTAAGATCAAGGAGGCACTTGGCATAGAAGCCCAGGTGACTCCTAAACCGTATCTCACTATGGACATGGACAAGGTCTCAGGTTCTAAGGGTCCCTGGCCCAGTATCCCACATACCTCTACAAATAGGACTTTCTTTTGCCCTTCAGCATCAATTGAACCTATACTCCCTCCAAACCATCAGAAGCAAAAGTGGTGAGGGCATTAAAGCAGCCCAAACTAGCAGTCATTAAATATGACCTCAAACTTATTTAGACACAGAAAACAGAATTTCAAATACCATCTGAATCAAAAGTCCTCAATCTCTACTTTTGAAACCTATCAGCTGGGATTTTCTAAAGGACCCTAATTTGGTGTTGGGTGAACACCCCACCTCCTAAGCCCCCTGGGGCAAAACAGCAGAAATAAAGTGTCCAATGAGCATAGCAAGGGGAAGAGGAAATTAGAGTTGAGCAAGCAAGTAGTCTGAGCTTCCTGGGCACAAAATGAAACCGGTTTTCCTGGAATTGGTTTCTACTATGGAGCAAGCAAAAAGGATCTCTTCCTCTGCTCCAGGCTGACCCACACCTTTATTGAGAAGCTTGGCCTGAAGCTGAACAAGTTCACCCAATTTGATGCCAACACCTGGTACCTCATCAACGGACAACGCTACCACACCAGGGAGGTCATGGCCAACCCAGAGCTCCTGGCCTATTCCATGGACCCTAAAGAGAAGACCAAGAATGCTACGAATCTCTTCTACCAGTCCATCACCAAGGTACCAGCTGCCTTACCCCAACTAGGGTTGGAAGGTAAGAGGGTCTGTTTGCCCTAAGGTTGCCTGGAAGTTAGTGGATGGCTCTGGTCATCTGACTCCTGCTTCACTCCTGTGATCAGTCTACCTTCCTTCTAAATCACTACCCAAGAATTTGCCACTGAGAAGACTACACCCCCAATCCCCTTCACCTCTCCTGCTCCTGACTGATCCCATGGATCCCATTACTTGATAAGTGGTAGTGGGAGGAAAGGGAATACTACATCAGCTAGTCCTTGGTAATGAATCAGCAGCAAAGATATTCACCTTAATTTCCAAAAGGTCTTTAAATGGAGGGGACATACTTATGGAAAAGGAGCTTGTAGGAGTTCCCAGAATTATTATTCCTCTGGCCCTTCCATCCTCTACCTGCTACCCCCACCCTCTTCAAGGGACATCCAGGGAACCCAACACTGCTATCTCTAAAGGCGTGCAGAGCCACCTGCCCCCCACCATGGCCTCCCTGTCCATAGCATTAAGGCCCAACTTAATGATGGTATCTCTCCTCCCCTTCTGCAGATAAAACAAAATCTGAAAACGTTCAACTGTAGCCAGCTGATGTCCTTTTATGATTCTTACTCCACAACGGTGAGTGCAACAAAGAAGTCCCAGGATGGATGTGGAATGGTAGTCCCTGTGCTTGGACCTGCCCCCTGGGTTGTCCCCTCCCACCAATATGCACTCCTCCCACTGCCATAGCCTGTACCTCTCTGGAGTCCAGTCCCACCTTGCCCAGACCCAGGCCCCTGCTAAAGCCCCTTCCTACACACAGGGCCCTCCACCCCACAATCCTACCCTCCACGTGCCCTTCCCCCAGGCTTACCTGCGGAAGAAAGGACGGCTGAGCAGAGAAGCAGTAAAAATGATCGGGGATGTGATGAATGAGAATTCTGGATACTATAAGTCCCTGCTGGAGTCCCTGCAGAACATGAACATCTTCTCCAAAGGCGATGAGTAAGGCTAATCTGGAGCCAGAGTGAGAACCCCCTCCCCAACACAATTTGTTGGATATGTACTATGTGCCAGGCACTGCGCTAAGCACCTTCCAGAAACTGTCACAGTTAATCACATTTAATAAGTAGACATTATTATTCAGAGTCATTTTACATGTAAAGATGCAGAGATGTTACGGAACTTACCCAAGTTATACAACTTTGGCACAAGTTGAAGCCAGATTCCAAACCCAGGTTTGCAGCACTCCTCCTGAGAAACAAAATTGCAGGTGGCTGGATCCATGAGCTGGACAGCCCATGTGATCCTGGGAGAGTCACTTCTGTCTGGGTGTCAGTTTTCCAAACGATCAAATTAAGCACCTAGGTTTCCCTAAGAGAGAATCTTTTCCTGTACGTCAACTAAGGCTATGTATGTGAAGTGTTCCTGTAGAGGGTGCATGGAGCTGTTTCCCATCCCCTTTCAGACCAGACGTGATTGGCAATTGGCACACTGGTCTGGTGGTGCCTCCCACCCTCACGCTGTCCTCTCTTTGGCCTTGCAGCTTCTCTGAGATCACAGGAGGCTTTGACCAGTTCCCCAATGCCCTCAACACCAGCCTGAAGCCTGGCACCATCCACCTGGAGTCCAAGGTGGAGACAGTGGTGAGGGACGGGCCTGAGGTCCGGGTTTTGTACCGTAGGGGGGTCCCCACATCAGAGTTGCACAACCTCACGGCGGACTACATCATCATCTCCAGCTCAGCCAAAGCCACTCGCCTCATTGCCTTCCAGCCACCCCTGTCCCCAGGCAAGAGAGATGCCCTGCGCTCAGTGCATTACACCAGTGCCACCAAAGTGATTTTGGCCTGCAACCAGAGATTCTGGGACAAGGATGGAATTGAGGGAGGGGTCTCCATCACTGATCGACCCTCACGCTACATCCACTACCCCAGCCACAGCTACCCTGGTGGCAAGGGTGTCCTACTGGCTTCCTACACGGTAGGCGATGATTCCCTCTTTTTCACTGCCATGAAGCAAGACCAGGTTGTGGACATTGTCCTAGATGACCTGGCAGCTGTGCACCAGATACCCAAGGAGGAGCTACAGCACATGTGCCCCACCTCAGTGGTCAAGCGCTGGTCCCTGGACCCCCTCACCTTTGGTGCCTTTGCTCAGTTCACACCCTACCAATTTGTGGACTATTCACAGCAGCTCTTCCAGGCAGAGGGCCGCATCCACTTCTCGGGCGAGCACACCTGCCTGCCCCATGGGTGGCTTGACACCGCCATCAAGTCTGGCCTTCGGGCAGCCAGGAACATCCAGGTTGCCGTAGACAAGGAGGCCACAGAGGGACAAGTGCCTCTGCAGAATCACTTCACCAACACCCAGGATGGTTTCTCCCGCAAGAGCAATCCCTGAGGGAGTCTGCTGGCCATGGGCTAGGAGGAAGGGCCCAGAAGAGAGGTCATCAATGGCCCCACTGGCCCCTCAAGAAACCAAAATTACCAGACAATGAACCCGGCTGGCTAGTCAGTAAGAACCATCATCTCCTTTCCTATTTCTGTCCCCTACCAGCCCCTACCGGAAGAATGCAGCAGTCAGGGTATATAGAGGAATAAGGGAAAAATCAAAGGTAGAGAATGCTAGAAGCATCCCTAAACTTGGAGGAAACTGTCTTCTGTGGCACAATATCAAGCAAAAAAAGGTTCAACCACATCTAATTTCTGTCACCTACAAGTTGAAAGAAGTCCCTAAAGGAACAGACAACCAAAATCACAGTAATGTTAAGCCACAGATTGCTTCCCCCCCACACACACAGACATGTACACGCACACACACAGCACAGAAACCCCACCATGGTTATGTGTGCTTGAGTTAAAGGTGTCGCATCTTGGCCCAATCTGGAGTCTAGGTGGATGAAAGAGGCAAGAATGCTTCTCCCTTGCTGTTGTAGTATGTGTCTCCTCGAAATGCTTCCTGGTGCACAGACTTTTCCTCTACATTCACCCCTCCACCTTATCAAACAGAACCCCAAATGCCACCAGCCCATCCACACATCACCCTGGGAGCACACCAAGTCATTCCACATGCTCCTTCCCCACTCTTCTCCTCCCTAAAACCCCACCTGTCTTTTGAGACCCAACCCAACTTATTCCCCCACCCCAGATTCTCCCTTAACGACTCCCCTAGCCCCCAGCCCCTAGAACTGTAAGAAAATAAATTTCTGTTATCTGATATTGTGATGATTTGTTGTGGCAGCCCTAGGGAAACAACAACGTGTCTTTCTTCTACTCTTCTCCTGGCAAAGAACAGACAGAAGCAATTCCAAAAATCATTGCTGCCCAAAGGCAAAGAAAGGGCTCCTCTCCCTGAGTTTTCACACATATTGCCCTTCTGGCCTACACATGTGAAATATCAGCGTAAGAGTAAGCACTGCAAATCAGGTAAAGAAGGGCAATCTAGTCAATATTTGACCTGAGGATAATTTGTTATAATTTTTCATAAAATAGTTAGCCCTACATATATCACACCAGAAATATAGATAAATTTCAGGTAGGTTAATGGTTTGATGTGAAAGCAAAACTTTAACATTTTTAGAATAACCAGGTGTGGAGGCACATGCTGGTAATTCCAGCACTTGGAAGGCTGAGGTGGAAGGATCACTGTAAGTTCAAGGACAGCTTGAAATGCATAGTGAGATCCTGTCTCAGAAAAAAGAAAAAAAAGGAAAAGTAGAGGACTTGCTTTAGAGAGCCAGAACCATGGCATCAGGCCATAAGACTGGCCTGTCCATCATAACAGCAACCTTTCCAATTTAGGGGACGAATGTCTCTGGATTCTGTACTCTGGGCCTGATTATCTGTACCTGGATGTAAAGGGGGGAGCATTTTGTTCCCAAAATTACCTTTGGTCACTGTCATGGTTTGTGTCTAGATGTCCTGCCAAAGCCTCATTCAGTCGTGGGTGGGCCTCTAGAGATTTTTATTGATCCATGGTCCAATGCTAGAATTATGGGTGTGAGTGCTACCCTCACCGGGGGTAGGCAGCCTGCATACAATATAAGGGAGAGAAAGAGGCTTGCTGCTCCTTCCTTTTGCTCTTGTTGCTTTTGCTCTCTTCTGCCACCATGAGCAGTTGCCCTCTGCAATGTGCCGCTCTGCCTTGGAGCCATTTGAGTATGGACTGAAACCTCCACAAACTGTGAGCTAAATAAACCTTTCTTTCCTTAATTTTGGGCATCAGGTATTTTGTCTCAGCAAGGTACCCAAGAGAGAAAAGTAACCAAGTCAGTCATCCTGCGGTAGAAAGCCTCCTAAAGCAGCCCTAGAAAGGCTAGCGCCCTTTCTTTGAAATGCACATGATGGTGGTCAAGCTGGAACAGGGGATAAACTCAATGGCCATGGCAGGAGCCAATCAATACATCTTTCATCTTGAGGCTACTGACAACACAGGGCGTTTGATCAAAGGTATCTGAGAGAATGGGATCAAGGTGGACTTGCCATCAAACCAAGAACTATAGTTGAGTATTTGGCACCATGGGCTAATCAAACAGATATGGCCTTGGTCATGACAGTAGAACCTGGGTTTGGAGGACAAAGTCATGAAAGACAAGATGCCAAAGGTTCACTGGTTGAGGACCCGGTTTCTACCGCTGGATGTAGAGGTGGTGGAGTAGGTCCTGACACTGTTCATAGGTGTGCAGAGGCAGGGGCCACCAGGATTGTGTCTGGCAGCACCATTGTGACGAGTGAAGATTCCACATCTGTGATCAACTTACTAAGAAATGTATGTTCAGAAGCTGCTCAGAAATACTCTCTTGATTGATGAGGCCACAAGGAGCCCAGGATTTGTGTTCATGAAAACTTTCCATGGGAAAACAAGACTACAATGTCACATCACAGTTGCGGCAGCGCTGCTTTTCTGAGCAATTATTCCAGTGACTAAAACCTATTGTACAGAATGTTCTAGGAGGTTAGAAATTGTTGTGCATTAACTACGCTTTAGTGGTGTAATTAAAGGTTAGTGAGAAATACCCTGTTTAGTGGGAAAATTAATTTTTATAGAGTGAAAATATGGCTAAGAATGGCATGTCACCTACCAAGAACAAAAATTTTTTTCCGTATTTTTAAAAACATGTTCTATTATCTCCCAGCTCTCAAAGCAAAGGGAATCTTTCTTGTTTTTCTTTAATTCATATCATTTCTGATTTGTTTATAAGCTTGACAATATGAGTAGAGTAGAACTAAAAACTACAAACTTGGGTGAGATGGCAAATCATTGTCCTACATGAAAGATTTTTCACCTCTCACCTTATGCTCAATTCATCAAAACCCACAGAGTAGGCAGGGCGTGGTGGTGCATGCCTGCAATCCCAGCACTCGGGAGGCTGAGGCAGGAGGATCCTTGAGAGTTTGAGACCAGCCTGGGCTACAAAGTGAGCTCAAGGCCAGCCCGAATTGCATAGTGAGACCCTGTCTCAGAAAGACAAAAAAGGGCCAGGGATATAGTTCAGTGGTGCAAGTGCCTGCCTGGCAAGCGCGAAATCGGGAGTTCGATTCCTGGTACCGAAAACAAAAAACAAAAAGACAAAAAATAAATAATTTTTTTTTAAAAACCCATGGAGTATAACACCAATTTTGTCAGAAAATCACATTATTGTGGGTGTATAATACCCATGCTAATTCTTTAGAATGTTTCTATTGATGAATTATTGATTTTAATTTTATGACTTTTACTATATTAAACAAGCACCTAACAGGAAAAAAATCAAAAACTAAAGTATTGAGTTTTTAATATCTCTTGAGTGTTTATGAAAAAACATCAAAGTTTTCAACACTGACTGGTTTTTGGTTACAAAGACTAAAAAAAAAACAACAGAAATAAATTCCTATATGAACTACAATGTAACTCTACAAAAAAGTCTTTATTTCAATTATCAAACCCCAGACAGTCTTCACACATGACAACAACATGCTCCATACACAAGTATCACCTACACTAACAGGACATGTGTTTTGTTTTCTTGGCCTTTTTGTAGGACATATTTGACATCTTGCTAGTCTTGCCATTTTGTTATATTTTATATAATCTCATTAAACCTATAGATTATTCCTGTAAAATATTTAAAAATTAAACCTTTAGAATAAATGATAGCAACTATCTTCATGAGCTCTGGGTAGGGAAAGATAATCTACACAACACACATAAAATACAAATCATGTAAGATGATATGTTTAACTACAGATAAAATATAAATAACAGGGCCAGAGGTACAGCTCAGTGGCACAAGTGCCTGCATGGCAAGGGCAAAGTCCTGAGTTCGATTCCTGCTACCAATATATATGTCAAAAGATATTATTAACAAATTGAAAAGTAATGGCACATCCTGGAAGAAAATATTAGCAATGCATCTATCTAATAATTGCAATAGCATTTCACTTAATCCTCACAGCAGGGGCTGGGGATTCAACTCAGGTGCACAGTGCTTGCCTGGCAAGCACGAGGTCGTGAGTTCAATTCCCGGTACCAAAAAACAACCAAAAAATTAAAAAAAAAAAAATCCTCACAGCAGCCTTGCAAGGAAGGTGTTTGATGTCTGTCTTATAAATGAGGAAATTGAGACTCATAAGGATAATAAATGTGCTTATAATTGTAACAGACCAAGATTCAACCCATGTCTGCCTCCTTCTAAAGCTTACGTTTCTACTCCCTCCCTCATAACGCGTTGCGTGATGTGGAGCCTCAGGCCCAGGAACAGAGAAACTGGCACAAGAGAGAAGCCAATCAAGTATCCTCCACAGGACAGAAGAGTAACATTCCAGGTGATGACAGGACAGCCAGACCAGCTCAGAAGCTCTGAAGGCTCCAAGAGAAATGTCTCTGACATCAAGGAATTTTAAGAAAGTCTGCTGTATTGGAATTGAAGAGAAAATTAGTGGGAAAAGTTGGAGGATACATTAGTTATAACTACTCAGAAAACTACGGAAGTATGCCAGATGGAAATTGTGTACTGTCTGTGTGGTGTGTATCCGTGAGGTCTGGCTAGGTTCTGGGAAGTGCTACACAAAACAGTGAATCTGGCCTCAGGAAACACATGAACAAGAAAAACTGGAGGTAAGCAGGGGAGTGAGTACATAAACTGTCGAATATTTCATCAGTATAAAACTCTAGGCAGCAGCTAGGTGTGATTACAGGTGTGCACGCCTGTAATTCCAGCACTCAGAAGGCTGAGGTAGGAGGAGCCTTGCAAGTTCGAAGCCAGCCTGGGCTACAAGGTGAGCTCAAGATCAGCCTGAACTACATAGCAAGACCCTGCCTCAAAAAGGCCAAAAGCAAAACAAAACAAAACAAAAACAAAAACCACTCTAGACAGCAGTTAAAAATAAAGAGTTACAATGATCCATGCATCATCATAGGTA